CCCCCCCCCCAGACTTCTCTCCCACCCTACCCTTCTCCCACTTTTACGGCGTTCCAACATTTTTCATTTGTGTGGGAACTTTCAAAGTCCACTGCAATTCTCCTCCTTCCCGCCTACGGCACCTGTTTTGTAAATACAGGCGTGAAGATTTTAACACAGTCCACAAGAGATCTAAATTATGAGGCGCGGAGAGGGAGAGGGAGAGAGAGAGAACGAGTTATGCCACGAATTCAGGATAAATAGGGGAAGATGCGAAAAGTTGATGGAGGAAAGTGTTTACTTATATCGGCTTAATTTTAGGGAGTGTTTATGCATTGAAGGGATGGGTGGAAAGAAGGCAAATATTTGAATGTTCTACTCAGGTAAAGAAATAGGAGATGATGGAGATACCAGATTCAAGGACATGTCATTTTCAACCAGCACACTGTCAGCGCACTTGCCTAAACATTCCTTTTTTCGTGGAGGATAATGAGTGATCTGTTTTTGCAGACACCCGCCTCCAATTACTCTTTAAATGCAGGTGAAGAGAAGACAATCTTAGAAAGAGGTATATTGAGGGTAAAATGCAAATTTGTTTCGGATTGGCATCAATTATCAGAATTTACAAATCGGAGCCCACTTCCAAATTCTCCGAATCTTCCCATCATTTTGATGAAATATACTACCTTATCATTGACAACAGCGTGAATGGGTTTTACAAAACATTTTGAGAGATATTTCATGGGAGGCTCAGTTGTTTTCCTTAACCATTTAAATACTAAGGTGATCTCCTGAGTCCTTACTCATATTGGCTGGTCAATAAGATCTCGGGAATCTAGAGATCAAGTCAAGAATGATTAAATTATTGGCAATTTAATATTACGGCACAAATTTGGCTCCTTTTAGGAACCAAAGAATATATATATTTCAAATGGTGGGCTTTATGATACTTATCATTTACACTTTAGTTGACTTAGGGCTTCACAGAGGGAAGGAGAAACATCAAAGTGAGAAAAAGTGGAAAGAGGGGACAGAAGAGTGATTCAAAGATGTAAAAGAGACAGAGGGAGACAGAAGAGTGATTCAAAGATGTAAAAGAGACAGAAAGACACAAAGGCAGAGAAAAGTAAAGATGAGTACTGTGAAAGTGGTCGAATATGACATACAGAATATGAGAACTGTGGAAGGGGTCGAATATGACATACAGTCGGGTCATTATGAGTACTGTGGAAGGGGTCGAATATGACATACAGTCTACTGTGGAATTATTCGAATTTGAAATGCGGTGGGGTCTTGGTAGTTTGAAGTGAGAAGTCAACTGCCGGTAAAAGACTTTTGTAGTTTGAAGTGAGAAGTCAACTGCCGGTAAAAGACTTTTTTAAGTATGGAGGAAGTGATCGAATAAGACATACAGTGGGGTGGAAGTGATCGAATAAGGCATACAGTTGGGTAATGGTAGTTTGTAGTCAGAAGTCGACCGCTGGTTTATAGACTTTTTTGCCGTATGAGAATACGTTGCCCGGGGTGCACCACGTGGAGGTAAGTCTACACGCTTCTACAAATTCTGACAATTTGGCCAACACGCATGCTCAGCGGCTATTTCATGATTAACATCGTCATCAGCAAAAAGGGAAGAAGTAAATGCAATGAAATTGTACGTATCTTTTAGAAAGTGTCAAAATATTTTAGGAGTATCAATATGAACTTGCTTGTTTTAACAACAGCAGCAGTGAAGTTTAATACATTGCTCTTGCCGCTTTTTGCTCCCCTTTTGAAAAAAAAGCCAACTTGATGTTGTCAAATTGAAATAGCCCTGCAAACGATATACGATTTCAGCTGCTCACCATGAGCCTGAAAAGTAATAATGAGACAGGAGGGGGAAGGTTTGGTGAACTTACCAATTTAATTCTTGATTATTTTAACTGGCTCTTCCTTGCTTGTGGGAGGGATGGGGGGGTTAAAATTCATCCTTTTCTCTTCAATAACTACGAACTATGTATACTCCATCAGTTCTTTCCAATTGTTGCCAATGCACCTCGGTTGTGAGTGTTTTGCTTAGTTTTAGAAAGTCCTAATGGGCTTTCCCTCGTACATCTCAATAGGTACATGGAGGATGCTTCTATCAGTCGGCCATGGTTTGGAGGGCTCGGAGATGGAAGGGGAACTTATTTCCAACCTCCGTTGTTATAAACAATTCAGTTCTTGACCCAGTAACAATTTTGTACAGAATAGGACGAAACCTAAATTCCCTTCCTATTCAATTTGCTGCAGTTCCACTGCTGACCGCGGACATGCAAGATACCACATTATTTCTTTTTCAGGTAACGGGGAATAGAAGTCAACTACACCCTGTAATAAGTCAACGAAATTTGCATGTTGTCCTGATATTGACATTTTCTCAAACTGTTTACCAAATTAAGCATTTTAATTCCAAATTGACACTGATGGACTCTGAGGACAAATTCGTAAATTTCAGTTGCGTCATTAGTGAGCGTCAGGCCTTCGAGTCCTGTTGGGTGGAAAATCTTTTGTCTGCTTTTGAGTTGACTATTTGCAGTTCCTACCAGAGTCAGTGCAACTTACTGCATAGTACTCATTTTGTCTTGCGTCCGCTTAGTATTTATAATAGCCTTCTGTTCCGTTATATAACACGGAAAGTGATTTCAACTTTTAAGGTCATCACCAAATTTCTTAAGGCCTTAGTAATCAAATTCAGCAAGCATTGAATATGAAGATGATTGGGATTCAATTAAATCAAGCTCAGGTATGCATTCATCAAACTCTAGAAGTACTTAAAATCAATAATATTGTAAATTTGATTTCGTAAATAGAACATGTTAAATTAAATGCGACAAATTGAAGCGTTTTCATATGATTGGTTGGCATTAAAACCGACTATGACTGGGCGTATTATGATTGGTCGCTAATCGCATATCACTCCAATTGGTCCGGATTCTTCATAAACCACAAGATTCGCAATCTCCGAGCTATTTCGTTATGACACGCCTTCCACTGCAGTCTTTCACTCATCCCCAAAATGAAATGGAGATGCTTAATTTACATGCCCAACTTTTCGAAATCATGAACCGAGGTATGAGTCAACAAATTCCACCGAATCCGGTTTTTTCTATTCCGAATTCCTTTTCGTTAATGCCTTCGACACATCATTCCACTGCTCAAACTTCTCCCACTTCAAGTTCGAATGATCACTTACCAGATCATTTATATTCCAGCAGTGCGAAACCTCCTTACTCTTACATTGCACTAATTGCAATGGCGATAAATAGTTCGCCTAAAGGCAAGCTAACTCTCAGTGAAATCTGCGAATTCATCTCATCAAGATATCCCTACTATCGAGAAAGGTTCCCACAATGGCAAAATTCTATCCGACACAATCTTTCCTTGAATGATTGTTTTGTTAAAGTACCTCGAGGCATTGAAAGCTCAGGTAAGGGCAATTACTGGAAACTCGATCCTGCAGCCCGGAATATGTTTGCTGATGGCAGTTACCTTCGACGAAGAAGGCGATTTAAAAAGGAAGAGAAGCACAACTCCAGTTCATCCCAAGAAGATCTCACTATTTCTCAGGAATCCGGCCAATCTGCACGAGGTAGAAGCGGGTTCAATATTGATCAAATTCTTCAGAACTCTGTTTAGAGTTTCATGAGGTATCCTTTGTACATAGCTTTTAGATAAATTATTTTTATTGAAAATGTGGTTTTATTCTAATGTGGCATTGTCTCGGGGTATTGCTAACTTATGAAAGAAGTGATCTAGTTCATGCATGACCTATGCTGCAAAATAGACTGAGAACAATCAACAAATTATTTTAATTAAAGTATTAGTATATTTGTGGCATTGTTCTGAAGGCACTTAATCGAAATACTTTAGCAAGTATGATATAATTCGGGTAAAATGTTGTCAGTTTTGATGTTTAGTAGGATAAATATATAACAGCCTCAAATAAGAACATCAATCGCATGTCCATTGATGAATCGTAATCGAGTGCAATAATTAGAGAGGTCTTTATAAACTTACCTTCCTTTTGATATCATCTGCGAGCACTTCCACCAAGTTTGAGTTCAAATGATTAGTACCCGTCAGGGCAAATTTACTAACATTAAAAGTCAATTGTACTGGTTAATTCTGCTCGTGAATAATACTAAGTAGTCTCAATGCCCATCTTCTGAAAATAATGGAAAATGTCTTAGACCTACTCACCGCGTGTGGAGGAATTTAAATGTGCGAACTTTCAGGTGGTGCTGATTGTGAAATTAGGGAAGTTCAATTTCAACAAGTTGGATATTCACCTCACTGCAAAACCTCATTCTTATCACCTCATGTTTCCCTAATTGAACACTCTTTTCGTGTTATCTCCGTTAAAACACTTTCCGGGGCTGTGAAATGCTCTTCTATTCCCCACCCCCTCGACTTTCTGCTACTTGATGAACCTTCCCACTGCTATCGGAACCGATTCTCATTTATAAGTGGTATATATTTTAGCTTCGCTCACTGGGCTAAATTTAATGCCCTTTCTTTGTAGAAAAAAGGTTTTAAAATTCGAAATAACTACTTACTGAAAGCGAACGCTTTCCGTATTGTCAATAAGAACAGACGAGTCAACTGGGTCAGTATAGACAAATATTTATTTACTTGTAGCAAATGGCAGGTTTTATGATAGTTATCATGGGGTGTGTAATAGACTTACCTCCACGTGGTGCACCCTGGGCAACGTATACTCATACGGCAAAAAAGTCTATTAACTGGCAGTTGACTCCGAACTACCATGACCCCCACTGTATGTCATATCCGCCGACTTCCACAGTACTCATCCCACTTTTTTTCCCACCTTATCTACCTTCGTCTTTGATACCCTCTTCTGTTTCCCCCCCCCTCTCTTGAATTTTTTACACTTTGATGTTGCTTCCCCTCTGTGAAGACTGAAGTCAACTAAAGGGCTAATAAATCAAAGCGCCTGCCATTTGATATAATAATAAAAATGATTAAAACGCCTGCCATTTGATATAATAATAATACTTTGAAATGGACGCGACAGTTATCATTTGCCCTTCAGTCGTCTTCGGACTTCACTGAGGGGAGAAACATCAAAGTCACGAAAAGTTGAGAGGTGGATCAAAAGAGTTATTCTCAAATGTAAGGGAGACAGAAAGGTAGAGATAAAGGTAAGGTGAGTACTGGGAAAGTGGTGGAATATGGCATTCAACGAGGTCAAGTTAGTTTGAAGTGAGAAGTCAATTACTGGATTATAGACTTTTGTCGTATGAGTATACATTTTCCAGGGTGCATCATGTGGCGCACCCCGAACAGGCAAATATTTATTTATTTATTTCAAATGACAGGCATTTTGATAGTTATCAGTGGCCATTTAACTGACTTCGGACTTCACAGAGGGAGATAAACATCAAAGTAACAGAAAGTTGAGGGGTGGGGAACAGAACTGTAAAAGAGACCGGCACAAAAGCAGAGAAAAGGTAGGATGAGTCCTGTGAAAGGAGTTGAATACGACATACAGTGGGGTCATGGTAGTTTAAAGTCAGAAGTCAACTGCCAGGTAATAGACTTTTTCGCCGTATGAGTACATGTTGCCCAGGGTGCACCACGGGAAGGTAAGTCAATCGCACAGCTCGAAGAGGCAAATATAACTGAAATCAATTGACTTTAAGCCCTTAAGGTATGTAAAGTGAATTCAAGTACCACAGAAATGAATTTCGAATAGAGGTGAAAAAAATGAGTGGTTGTAATGTAACTTTAGATCAGTTTATTTTTTCTCATAAAACAATAAGCAAAAGTCACGAGTTCATGCATTCAATCTACTTCAAATTTGATTTGGCTTGGCATTAATGTATGCTTTTCCTCGCTCCCTCGCTCACTCTTGGTATGTGGCTTTGGGAAAAAGAGGGAAGGTAAGAAGAATGACTTTAAGACACAATAGATTAAAGGGGAGGTGAGGGTTGGAAGACCTTGAACAACCGCTACAGACTGTGCCCTCTCCCCTGTCTTTTAATGAGACAACTAGAAACAGCAGCATTGAGGAGACCAACAGCCGGATGTCGCATCTTGGTCATACCGGTAGCCTTCGAATGGCGGAAAAACGCTGGATTGAAATTTCAATCAAGTCGATTGTGACAGGCACGTGTGAACATGAACTGTGACCGCCGTCACCGTTGCAGTCTTTCGTAAATTCGGTGGTGGTTTTCCAGGTGAGTTAATTCGGAGAGTCCCTCGTCCCGATTCGGCATTCTGTCCAAGCCACATCCATCCAACCCTCCTCCCCCCCCCCCCCCCACCCCCTCTTTCCTAACTGGATTAGTAAACATTTATGAATTTGTCATAAAGTGAATTTTAAACGACGATTTGATGGAAATACTTCCAGGCATCGGTAGGATGAGACTTGTCTATCAATGTCTGATTCTCTGGGCCCCAATAAATCATTCGAACTCAAAATCAGAATAGATTGAGAACTAGATTCGTTACCTTCTCTGTCTAGTTAATAATTGATGGATGAATGGCTTTCTACAGAAGAATGCATTTCCATAAATAAGTTAAAATAAATTGAGTTAATTTAATTTGGCTTGTAACGGGTGTACTGGGTAAAAATCGTCCCTTTGGTAATTCTGTGTATTTACTTATTAAGGTAGTACGTTTCACACTGAATAAAACTAATTGTATCCATTAGATCTAGATTGATTATCATGGCATTTGTTGATACGGAACTTTTCTGGGTAACTGGTTTCGCTTCATACTCACCACGGGCCGAAATAGTTAGGCTTTAGATGAAAAATTGTACCAGCTGTACAAATCTACAAGCCTCCTGAAGTTGTATATTTGTATCTAAGCTCCACTTCACAGGAGACTAAAACAATGCTTGTCTAGCTCAGGAGACTAAAACAATGCTTGTCTAGCTTGCCAGATGGGACAACAATGCTTTCCCATCACCATAATTGCATAATACTTAGTAGTTTGGTAAAAATTAAATCACTTAATCCATTAGGTGTAAACTATTTGATGAGAGCATGAGATAATTTATCTTCACTCAAAGCCTGTGAAGAGAGTAATAAATAGGTTAGTAGTTAATCTGAAAGCTATGTTCAATATAGTTAAATTTTATTAGAACATTAACAGTCAAGTAATTTTATCAATATGAAACTGAATCCCCTGATATAATTAGCATATTTAACCAGGCACAAAATCTGATTAGATGTAATGGGGAGTAAGTCAACTGGGCGGATGATAATTCTGATTTGATAAATGACAGGAAAGGCCTGCTTAATTTGATACCGCTGACAAGCTAGTATAAACCGCATCTGCGCACACTAACACAATAGACCTCAAGGGGAGGAGATCTGAGGACTTAAGTTCGAGCCTAGTTTAATCATTTATCCACACTCTGTTCTCGCACCCTCTCCCAAACCCCCCCCCCTCCCCTCCACACTTTACGTTAATAATAAAACATCGTTCTATTTAATTAGGCTACAGTACACTCTCACCCCACCCCTTCAGGGAATCAGAGGGAAAGCTTCATTTGTTTGATTTATGGATTTAGCTGGAGGAAATGGGATAGGGAGAGTGAGGATTGAAGACTGAGGCGCCACAATTGAAGGACAGCAAAATCAACGGTATGTGCGTGCTCCTAATGCACACAGGCCTACAAACCCCCCCCCCCCCTATCCTCCCCTCTGTCTGGCTATGCGACGAGACGCCAGCGTCTTGAGATCTGGTTATCCCCAAAATCCCCACTACCCCTTCCGACTTGCGGTTTTGTAAACACATTGGCTCTCGTGTGCAGCTAGTTTGTTTACATCTTCATAAATTCTCTATCCGTATTGAATTTGGCGGTGGGGGTGGATTTATGATTCCAAATAATGAATAAGGAACGAGTATATTCGATTTAGATTCTGTGTTGGGATTTTTATTAGCTTACTGCTTAAAGAGATCAGTAAAACTAAGCAGTGCGTCGTTTCTCGCATTTACCGGATAAACGCAATGACAGATAGACTAACAAACCATGGAATTCATAATTTATTTGAAAAATCTAATTAGTATAAAAGAATGTATTTGGCTTATATGCACACACCCCCCCCCCACGTCATTTATTATTATGACCGATTTTATATTTAAAAAGCGGGGTGTGCGATAGACTTACCTCCACGTGGTGCACCCTGGGCAACGTATATTCATACGGCAAAAAAGTCTATCAACCAGCAGTTGACTTCTGACCCCACTGTATGTCATATTCGACTACTTCCACAGTATTCACATCACATTTTTTCTAAATTGTCTACCTTCGTCTTTGAAACACTCTTCTGTTACCCTCTCTTGACTTTTTCACTTCGGTATTCCTTCCCCTCTGTGAAGCCCGAAGTCAACTAAAGGGCTAATGATAACCATCAAAACACCTACCATTTGATATAAATAAATATTTAAAAAACTAGGAAATATAAATCTGGTTTAACAAACAAGCGTATGATTTAATTTTCGTTTTCCTGGCTCTAACAAGATGGAAGTTAATTTCTCTGGCGTGACCGACCATGGGAGTCAAAAGTCCTAAATATTATGGACATAATTTCATGAACCCTTTTGCCCTATCTTTTATAGGATTGAAGGTAAGTATAAATATGCATCTCCTCAAATACCAC